CAAGGATTATGTTCAGTAGTGAACAATTAACGGCTGATATGATATAAATATAATATAATAATAAATAAATAAATAAATAATGACGATGATATAAATGCTTCGCCAAAAAATATCGGCTCAAGTTTTAAGCATAATTCTACTTAGATAATCAAGATGTTAAAAAGTTAATTACTTTTACATTCTCTCATTTCATTTTACGCATTAACACTCGAATTCGACAATTCTGACATTTATTAATCTATAAAAAAAATTATTGCTCCATAGTACACTGTACCTGTCACTTTCGTTTTCGCGCCATAACGGCGGCGCGTTTCGGGGCTTGTTATAATTAAATTTAACTTGTTCGGATAATCGCAATGTAAATTTTAATCATGAAGCTGGTAACACTACAGAGACCATTAGCCGAGAGAGTTTGTTTATTATTTTACAATTAAGAAAAAGGGGTACTCTCCCGTCTACTTAATTTCCGCCAAAATTTATTGGCCAAGTTGAAAGGCACACCGAAGTTGGACAAGAGTTCCGCTCGTTGCAAATCCAATCATTAAAACAAATAATGCTGGTAATTTATCAGGCGGACAAAGTCGCGGGTAAAAGCTAGTATAATTAATAACTATAGATTCAGTTTTCCGAAATAAGTTTTCCAGACAATGGTTCTACTTTATCAACGAAACTAAAATCGACTATAATCGTTAAAGTTGTCCGATTTCGTGCAATCGATTGTTTGGATTGTTAAAGAAGTTTCCAGACTTACTAGATTTTGCTGGTGGCTGCGTTCCTCTGATACTATTTCTGTTTATAATCGCTCGGGGAAGGTTTTGTGCAAATCGATTCGCGTGGGTATCCGAAGTCTCGAATATTTCTTCACTAGCGTTTACTAGCGATTTTGTCCAAGTGACAAATAATCAAATATTTTTTGAATCATTGATTGAGTAATTTTCGACAATGTGTGTCTCCTATCCAATTAAAAGTCTTGGTCATCTAATTGTCAAGTTTGTGCTACCATCGATGATGTGCAACATGTAGTGTTAGAATGTCATATAAACTCGAAGGAAAGAGAAGAATTATAACGCCATTTTCACCTAAATAAAGTAAATATTGGTCTCATTCAATCTATATTAGCTGAACCCAAATCAGAAGTTTTAGAACATCTCTGTAAATTATTGATGCCCATTAATTCCTATCTTTGCGCGTCTAGAAAAAGTAGATACAATTTTATCTGAGATATCAGATCAGGGTACGATAGGGCCGATACGTCTGAAGAAGGTTAAAGCCTGAAAAAAATTCGGTAGACCTTTCAACTGCACTTTCCACTTCGAGTCTCCAAAAAAGCTTATGCCCTTGAAATATAGAAGGAAACATTTTCTTCAAGGAATCAATAAAAAAGAATGTTCTCAATTCAGTTGCATTTTGATGCAGTGATAGATGAGAACACCGCCGGTCTTCAATTGCTTTTTTATAACTAGGGACATATCCCGGATTTGCACGGGTGCCATTACTTATTTATATATCGACCAAGTTCGAAAAGAAGGAGGTTTTTCAATTAGTTTGTGTTTTTTTATATTTGTTACCGCATAATTCCGTTAATTTTAAACCGATTTGCAAAATTCCTTTTTTTATCAGAAAGAATAGTCTTTCAGACTAGTCCTAAAGACAAAGAAGAAAGATTTTTTTATCAAAATCAATAACGGGTTTTATCAAAATTGAAGTTGGTTATTAGTGGGACACAATCATTCATTATATAAAATACTTTCTGGAGACATCAACTTTACTGAAGACTCGAAATCAAGAAAAGTTCAGAGAAATTAGACAGAAATCGCACTTGTTGAGACCCACTTGATAGCGTTCTACTGAGTTTAGCTTTCTTGCTAGCCTGCTTAAAGATATTTTGTTAAAGATTTTAACTCAATTTACAGTGTGCTATATAATTGTTGAGATGGTTGGATGGAAAAATTGACGAGAACTTTTAATTTATCTTATATTTAATTTTAATACATATTTTAGCCGTGCAACGCAAGTGACAGACGAAATCAGAGGGAGGAAAATAATATGGCGTGCGCTGAGTTAATCTCAAAGCGATAACAGATGGCGCTACGTGTCCCTTCTACATAAATATGATTATTAAATTTAACCTAATTACAACAATAATAAAGTTTATAACAATCAAGCATCATAAATTATTATCATCATTGTCTTCATCATCATCATCATAATCATTACCATAAAAGCTTTAGTTAAAAGTCTATTTGGCTGTATGTTTATCTCGGTATCATGTTAAAACTACTACACCGAATTGGATACGGTATTCACAATTATGTCATCATTACTTTAATCATCATCATCATCATCACACCAGCTTTTAATTGTCCACTATGAACATAAGCCTTCACCTAGGGGAATTTTGCTGGCAGCTGCAACGCTTGGCAGGCGGATTGGCAATTCCAGTTAGGCTTTAGAGATGTTTTAAGAGGGACGCTTATGCCCATTTATAGATCATTAAGTTCCCTTAGTCGCCTCTGACAACACCTACGGAAAAAGAAGGGATGGCCCATTCTATGCTGAGACTACACCCGGCGCAGGCGAGATTGCCATTCCATTATCACCCATTAAAAAAACCATATCAGCTGTTAACTGTCCACTGCTGAACATGTCTCCCCTTGGGGGATTTTGCCGGTAGTTACCATGCTTTGCAGGCGGATTGGCAACTGCAGTTAGGATTTGGAGATGTTTTAAAAGACGCTGCTGCCTATCCTTCCACCATAAGCTTCCTTAGTCACCTCTTACGACACTCACGGTAAAGGAAATTCTTCAAAAGTTGGGGTTCTTCAAAAGGGGGGTAAAGAGGTTTCTTCAGGGTCGGCAACGTGCGCGTAATACCTCTGGTATTGCAGACGTTCATAGGCTACGGTAACCACTCACCATCAGGTGGGCCGTATGCTTGTTTGCCACCTCAGTGGTATAAAAAAAAAGGAAGGGGTATTTTATGCTGGGACTACACGTTATAGAATATAATAAATATATAAATATATATATATATATATATATATATATATAAAGAAACATCTAAATGTGTACACAGGTTTATTTTCAATGTCGTGACAAAGTTAAATAAAAAGGCATTAAAAGTCCGTACGTTCTAGCACTAGTAAAGAAATACGTTTTATCGACAATCGATATTCTATTTATCGATATGTTCACGTCACTATATCATTATATTTGAGCGCCTATATATATATATATATATATATATATATATATATATATATATATATATATATATATATATATATATATTGGTGATTTAGTAAAAAAAAAATTACTCCAATATCGAAAGGTAAAGAATATTTAAGGCCTCGTATGGGAAATGTACATAAATCACTGTATATTTGTTAAACAACTTATCTCTAAGAACTTTGATAAAGTCATTGGTAAAAGTTAGTAGTAGATGATTTGATTTGATGACGATGATTACCAGAGAGAGACTTTGTACAAAAGTCGATTGCTTGGGTACCTCTGTCCCATTCGTGTTCCTACCGTGAAGCAGTTGTGTTTGCATGGCTGTGTATCGGTTTGAAGGATAGGATATGGCGTGAATTTACAGGGTACAGAGGAATAACACCTGAGTCCTCAGGAATGGCAACGCATGGGACATATCATGGGCGAAACAGTATACTCTATTATGTCCACGGTACTGCTCATGTCTATAGGCGACGGTTACCACTTTCCATCAGGTGGGCCGTCAGCTTGTTTGCCATATCTAAGTTGTATAAAAAAATGTTTCTTGTAAATAAATATTTATCCATTCATTAATTTTAAAAAAATCTATTGAAAACATTCTTTTTTATCTACTTTGGTGGCAAACAAGCACACGGCCCGTCTGATGGTAAACAAGGTAACCATAGCCTATGGACGCCAATAAAACTAGGGATGTCACGCGCGTTGCCGACCCTCAAGAAACCTTCTACGTTCTTTTTGACGAATCCCATACTGTAGTCTTTACGGAAAGCGTAGGCAAGAAGATCATTCTACATTCTGTGTGTACGCGAAGCAGACTTCCTGTTAAAAACAACATTTCCCTGTTCATCTTCTCCGTCGAACCTCCCCATTTATCTGGCAATAAAAATTACATTTTAATCGATATCAGATATTGGATTTATCGACATACTCCCGCCCTACGCCATTTGACTCGTGAGAGGTTCTATGTAATTATCGAAAGAATTTGCTCTCGCTTTCCGATAATTTTGTTTCTTTACGCTTCGCGAAGGCTTTTACGATGAATTCTTATATTTGCAGCATTTACAAAATTTTTGCCCTCGGCTTCGCACGGGTGCATTTTTTGTTTCTTTTTTTATACAACTTAAAATGGCAAACAAGCTGACGGCCCACCTGATGAAAAGCGGTAACCGTCGCCTATAGACATGAGCAGTACCGTGGTCATAACAGAGTGTACTGTTTCGCCCATGATACCCGCCATGCGTTGCCATTCCTGAGGACTCAGATGTTATTCCTCTGTACTCAGTAAATTCACGCCATATCCCACCCTTCAAACCGAAACACAGCCATGCAAACACAACTGTTTCACGGTTGAAACTCGAATGGGACAGAGGTATCCAAGCAATCGACTTTTATACAAAGTCTCCCTCTGATAAATTGCATTTTGCAGTGCATTTTGCATCAAATAAAATTGATTAGTTTATTTGTTACTTTTTTTTAATGAATGATAATGAGGTAGTGACCACAGCAGTGCGGTGTCCCAGTCCTTTCCGCGACTGCAGTGCCCCCCCCCCCTCCCCCTTTCCTATCCCACATAAATCCCTTATTCCTCTCATTTACCAATTTCCTTTACGCATTCCCAACGTATTTAAAATTTCTATTTATAAAATAAACACAGCCATGCAAACACAACTGCTTCACGGCAGAAACACGAATGGGACAGTGGTTAAATTAATTATTTACCCTATAATAAAAATTTACAACACCATGCATTTTAATGGTAGACGTACCTCGTTGAATCTTCGAATGAGGGCGCGTACGGTGCTCTTCGCTTGCTGCGTGTGTGTAGGTGGCGCCCTGCGTATCATATGACGCTCGCTGACGGCCCCCAGCACGCCCTCTCCGCCCAGGTCCAACGTGACTTGTCTCAGATAATCTATTGGAGGTACCTGAAACAATGGAATTCAGTTATGCAACTACAGTTCTTTAGATACGACTCTCCAAAAAAAGTCGGTTTTTGAAGTCGGTTAAAAATAAAACATTTTTTATACCACTGAAGTGGCAAACAAGCATACGGCCCACCTGTTGGTAAGTGGTTACCGTAGCTTATTAACACCTGCAATATCAGGGGTATTAAGCGCGCGTTACCGACCCTGAAGAAACCTCTTTACCCTCCTTTTGAAAAACCCCATGCTGTAGTCTCTTATAAAAACCTCGGCAGGGAGATCATTCCATAACCTGAGTGTTCGTAAGAGAAAACATCTCTGAAACCGCGCTGTACGCGACTATTTAGGCTGTACGATATGAGGGCGAACTCTGTCTATGGCGAGCCGTACGATGGTAGAAAGTGGCTGTGGGCATCATATTGAACAATTCCTCTGAGCACAATCCATACAAAGTGTCGCTCTGGTAAATTATTAATATAATAATATTTATAATATAAATAAAAATAAACAAATAAATAATTAGAAGGTATTCTAATAGCCGTGTGGTCCCGGCATAGAATAGGCCACCCCTTCCTTTCTCGTGGGTGTCGTAAGAGGCGACTAAGTTAATAGTCAAGAGATACAGCTAAGAGGCAGCAGCGTCTCTCTTAAAACATCACCAAATCGCCTGCCAAGTGTGGCAGCTGTAGTGATACGTAAGCGAGTGGTAAAAAACTAATCTATTTATTGAAAGAATAAATAGAACAAATTGTTACCGGCCAGTATTTACAAAATTATTAGTGGCCAGTACGTGAACATAATATGCTACAGCAATTACTGGCAAATCCCCCCAAGGGGGAGGCTTATGTTCAGCAGTGGACAGTTAAAGGCCGATATGATGATGATGATATATATATATATATATATATATATATATATATATATATATATATATATATAATAAATAGTACACAGGTAGGTTTAATACTAAGTCAGCCAATAGGTTTTAAATATTAAATCACGTGCGTAAAGATACGGGGTACAACTAGTAGACTAATAGATAGATAGATACTCTTTATTGTTTCCCCCATAAGATTACAATAGTAAACTTATTATAGATACAAACAATTACAAGAAATGATCACAGTGAGACAACAATGGGCGACCTTATCGCTGAGAGCGATCTCTTGCAGCCAACCTTTGGATGGAGAGGAGTAATAAACAATTTGATCGGAGGCGCGATGAGAATTCTATTATTTCTAAATACGAAGATGTGATATATGTAATAATGTAAATATATATCCCTACTCATTATTATATATATACATACATACATATACATACATACATATACACATATACATACATACATACACAAATGCATATAAACACTTACATAAATACATAAAAATAATATGTACATATTTAAAGAAATAATATTTATTTGAAACTCATAAAACAGATTCCGTGTTTATGTAAATTGAGTCACATTTATTATTTTAAGATACTTTAATGCCACTGTAATTTCCCAGTAGTAGGTACTAAAGAGAGGCTATGTACCAAAGTCGAATACAAACAAGTATCTATACAATCTAAGGTAAACAACCACTATGTATTAATTTAGTTACTGTAATGGGTTCGTCGCCCCCATAATGACCGTGTCGGGGGTTGCGTTGCACAAAATATTTACTACATTGTCAGGACGTCGTTAAGACTGTCCTGCTGGATATCCTGTCTTTTAGGATTCCACGGAAACCTCCCGAGGTTTGTTGGGTTCAAACACCTCTATTTTATTTCTTTTTAGAAGTTTTTTTTTTATAATTTTTTCAAAACTATATTATTTTATTTATGTATTACTAGCGACTCGCCCCGGTTTCGCACGGGTGCAATGTTCACACTAAATATACCTACCTACTACAGAATGTCCTTGTAAACAACGTTTAGAGTTTTTTTGTCATTAGACAATACAAACATGATAAAGCGCTATAGGGCGAGTGCGGCTGGGCCGGTACCGCCGCACCACTATGTCCCTGCATTTTAAATCTGTAATATCTTCGGAAATATTAATTTAAATTACATACTGTAACGGCCATATTGATCTATATTAAATGAACAATGTATTTAAGGTACTTAATTGAATAAAAATTTATGCTGTATTGCTTAAAATCACTTCGTAAATAAGCCATTTTTCTCGTAAAGGATAAAAAATGGTTATTTGTATCAGGAGCGAAATAGTATTATACTCTGCTATGTCCATGGTACTGTTCATGTCTACAGGCGACGGTTACCACTTTCCATCAGGTGGGCCGTCAGCTTGTTTGCCATTCTAAGTTGTATAAAAACCCTTTTTTTAAAGTCGGTTAGAAATCTACAATTTATTGTTTTTTTTTTTTTATTATACAATTTATTTATTATATCAACAATTATCACGTTTTATCATTTTTTTTAAATCACTTTACATCTCTCCCTACTGTCGGTTTTGCTTACCGGTAATTGCAATGCTCAGATAAGGCATTTACAAGACAGTGCTTCTCAAACTGGTTTGCGATTTATTTATTATCTTATTATTTTATATAGAAAAATCTCGTGTTACCATGTTTGTGGTTGCAGTCTTTCGAATCGGCTCTACCGATCTTTATGAGTTTACTAGCTGCCTCGGTAAACGCTGTTTTACCATATACATTATTTCTAGAACTATACATGAAAATGTATCGTACTACAATTATTATATTCGATTGCCATCTTGCAACCATATTGTGGCATATAAAAATCGCAATTAAACAACAGGGATTGATCGTAAAAGGGTGAAAATTTGAATTTGTATGTATTTTTCAATGCTAAATCATAATAAAATAAAAATTAAAAAAATTGTCAAAAAAATAAAAAAAAAATATTTAGGGATAGGTCACTCTTATCATTGAGGGGTATGAAAAATAGATGTTGGTCGATTCTCAGACCTACCCGATATGCACACAAAATTCCATAAAAATCGGTAAAGCCGTTTCGGAGGAGTTTGGTAACATACACCGCGACACGAGAATTTTATATATTAGATTTTATATATATTTTGTAGGTACGAGAATAGGTCGTTAACCCTTCTTTGCATGATTTTTTTATAGTGAAACAAATCAAGGTGATATAATTCATGTTCAAAATTAAAGGAAAAATAGTTAAAAAAATAAACTTGACAGCTATGGTTTTTTTTTATGCAATAGACATTAAAAAGGTATCCAGACACGATCAGCTTAAAGTAAACTTGTTCTTTTATATAATTTTTTTTTTTTTTTATACGACTTAGAATGGCAAACAAGCTGACGGCCCACCTGATGGAAAGTGACATGAGCAGTACCATGGACATAACAGAGTACACTGTTTCGCCCATGATACCCCCCATGCGTTGCCATTCCTGAGGACTCGGGTGTTATTTCTCTGTACCCAGTAAATTCACTGCCATATCCCACCCTTCAAACCGAAACACGGTCATTCAAACACAACTTTCTCACCACGTCTGCCCTTCATGCGCTTTCTGTTTACACCTAATGGTCAACTGGTAGAGAATGTTATACGGCATTAAGCTTCGCCACTTGTACAAATTTGTGTCGTAAATAATCACCTGTAAGTTTGAGAAACACTGTCGCACAACGTCGAACCATTTATTAAGAGATCAACCTGTCTCTGCGTATTTCTTATTGTCGCCGTCTTTTGTTGGAATATTGTTACGCGATTGCGTAACAAAAGAGGGGGTATGTGGTTAACGATAATCTGTATTAGTATTATAAAGAATACTATATATACATATATATATATATATATATATATATATATATATATATATATATATATATATATATATATATATATATATATATATATATATATATATATATATATATATATATATATATATATTTAATGGGTGAAAATGGTAGTTAGTGGGTGATAGAAGAAAACAGGCCCATCATGATGAATTAACCATGATAGTTTTCACGAGGAACCGCGAGGAGGTCGACCTGGTTGGGTATATTGCTAGCAATGGGATTCTCAGTCCCCATTACTAACAATCCCTTTCCCCCCAATATATAGGTATTAATATATAAATACTTTTCTTTAAACCGCCATCGAGTGTCTCTACACATCCTAAAGGTTGACTGGTAGAGAATGCTTAAAGCATTAAGTCCGCCTTTTGTACCACATTTTATTGGTACAGAGGAGTAACACCTGAGTCCTCAGGAATGGCAACGCGTGGGGGGTATCATGGGCGAAACAGTATACTCTGTTATGTCCATGCTACTGCTCATGTCTATAGGCGACGGTTACCACTTTCCATCAGGTGGGCCGTTAGCTTATTTGCCATTCTAAGTTGTATAAAAAAAAAATTATTGGTCAATAAAGTTTAAATAAATAAATAAAAGATTTGTTTGTTTATTTGTAATGACTATTTATGGGCCATTCATTCATACATGTTTGTACTATATCACGCATACACACACGTAAATCCCAACCCCAATCAACCCCACAGTTTCATCCCAATCATCTGGACGAGTGGCGGTCCTCCACCGTGCGTTTTTCAAGGCACTTTCTCCCACGCACGACCACTCTTTGGTATCAACTTCCAGCAGCAGTATTTCCGAACCGATACGACAACATAACCTTCAAGAAAAGAGTATATTCCTTTTTAAAAGACCGGCAGCACACCTGCAATGCCGTAGGTGTTGTGGGTGATCATGGGCGGCGGTAGTCACTTACCGTCAGGTGAGCCGCATGCTCGTTTGCCCCCTGTGTTGTAAAAAAAAACACACACACACATAAAAACACTCGGACCATAGCACACATACACACGCCCACGAACGCACGCACGCACGCACGCCTCCACTCACACTTTCATGCCCACCCACACACACACACACACACACGCACGCATCAGTTTTTCGTTTGGTTACTTTTTTATTTCTTTCTATTAAACGAGATAATAATACGTACCATTGTCTTTACAATTACTTTAGTAATATTCTTATAAGTATTGC